GAGGAGGAGGAGGAGGAAGAGCATGCAGGCTCGGGGAAAAGCGTGCACAGAGATCAGGATGTGGGAGAGTCCTGGGCTTGCTCAGGAAACTGCAAGTGTGGCTGAGTTCACGTGAGCAAGGGAAAGGATGAGGGGCCCAACCACAGGGGTCTAGAATTAAAAATCATAGGTTCTGGAGCTGGACTTCCTGGATTCAAATACCAACAATGTGGTTTAACAGCTGTGTGCCCTTAAGCAAACCATTAACTACTCTGTGCTTCAATTCTTTCCTCTTATCAAGTCCCTACCTTATCTGGAGTTTTGAGGATTGAAGGAGACAAGTCTTGTTGAAGTGCCTGGTATGCAGCAAGTGCTCAGTAGATGTCAGTTGCTAGTATGGACCTTGTTAAGAATTGTGGTATTTGTCCTATGAATAATGCAGAATGCATTAATCTGGACTCTCTGGATTGCAAGGGATAGCAACCCAACTCACACTGGCTTAATCAACAATAGGGGGATTTACTGACTCATATAACTGAAAGATATAAGTTTAGATGTGTCATCAGGCACAGGTGGATTCCATGCATATAGCACTCATTTCTCTCTGTCCCCACATGGTGGCAGAGTGGCCATTTAGCTACCACAGTGAAAGAAAGCACCTCTCTCCAGCCTGTTGCAGGGCCACTCTCATAGAAGTCTCTCACTGCCCTGGTTCCCAACTGGTTCCCATCCAGTACCCAGCCCTGAGCCAGTCACCATGCTGTGCAGGTGATGGGAAAAGGGGATTTGATGCTGGACAGCCAGTCATATCCCCGAACATCTGAGATCACTGGCCTGGGGCTGGCAGGGGGTCCTAAAAGGAAATTGGGGTGCTGTTACCAAATCAAGGAGAGGCGTGCTGAGCAGGCAGACACAGACAGTGTTGAGTCAGTCACTGGAGGCTTTATACAGGGAAGGACAGGGCCTGGTGTTTCTCCTGAGATGACCACTCTGGCTGCTGAACGGAGATGGGAGGAAGACAAAGTGGAGGTGGGGGTCAATGTCGGGAGTCCGGGAGAGAGTGGAAATGGTGTGGCCGAGCTGGTGGCACGTGGGGTCCAGGCTAAGAGCCAGGTTTTGGCCTGAGCAGCTGAGACTGGGCGCTTCAGGGAGGGGCAGGCTGAGGAGGGTTTGACTTGGGGGAAGAAGTGAGAGTCAGCTTTGGATGCCCTGAGTTGGAGTAGCCCTGAGACATCCACAAGGAGGAGTCCTAGAGGCATTTCTGTGACGTTAAGAAGTCCACTTCACATTCTTTCCTGGTTCCTATGAAATATCAGAAGGATAATAAATGCATTGAATAGTGCTTTCTCTGCCCAGTAGAATACACTAGAACCAAGTGAGGCCTGCCCCCCCCCCAGGACAGTTGAGACAAAAACAGCTTGCTGAGCTGTTCGCAGGGAATATGTCTGGCCCAATCCCTCCCTTAAGAGTCAAAAGACTTGAAGTCCTGGGCAGCAAGGTAGTCAGGACCAGCAGGCTGGGGGCATGCAATGAATGTTGGTCGAACTGACAGGGTCTCAGACCCCTGGAGCTAACAGTGCAGCTGTGGTGAGGCATGAGGAGCACAGGTGACAAGGAAAATGCCTGGGCAGATGGCCAAAACTCAATGCAGGTGGCATGGCCAGGCAGCAGAGTCCGTGAGGGCTCAGAGGAGAAGGAGGTTAATGCAGGGCTGGCATAATCTGGGGTGGCTTCCTGGACGCAGGACTGGAGTGGCATCATCAATGTGCCAGGCAAAAGGAAGACTATGACCTCAGACATGGGGTGCAAGCCTAGGTGTGGAGAGCATCCCACTCAGCCCCAAAGCAGCTGGGTCTCTAAGAACTTCCTAAATTAGACCAGGACGCCAGAACCTCCCTGGGCTTCCCAGACATCGTGAGGTCTTCAAGTGAGGGCTTGCCCCCAGATTTCCCCATCATTTGAGGAGGAGCAAGCTGCTCCCTCCACAGGGCACCTCATCTTTCTCTGTGTAGCAGCCCTCAGCCCTGTGGAGATTTCTCTGTGTACCCCTCCCCTCAGCTCATCCCGTCCCCAAGGCAGGGAGCTGGAAGGGACCACTGTCAACACCCAGCATGCTCCCTGCTGCAGGAGGCCCTGGGTAATTTTAGGAAGAAGTGAATGCATGCCAGGGCAAATGGCCCCTGGGAGGGGAGCACCAGGCAGCTAGGAAGGGCCTAGCAGGGCACTTCATGGGTGTGGGGGGCAGGTATGGAGCTTGGGGACTCCTGTGTCTGCTTCCCTCTCCAGGTCTAGGAAATGTCACGTCCTGCGTGGCAAGGGCAGTGGGAAAACAAGAGGGGCGATGCAGAGTTAAAGAGCACAAGAGACAAAGATAAGGCTAAAGTGGGACCAGGGGGCATCAGCCTCGAGGACTGAGCCCCGAATCGGGTCGTCGCATGGCTTTTATTGAGAAAATTATACGGAAGTGAAACTGCATTACTCGAAGATCCGTGAACTACGTGCCTTAAGGCTGTTTTCCATTAACCCGCTCCTGCACAGCCCCCAGGACAACATGTTCTTACTGTGTCCTTCCAATTAAGGGAGGTGACCGATATCATTCCACCGGGTCTCAGTCATACCGAGACACTTCCTCAGGACCGTATAGGTCAGGGGTTAGTGCAGGAGGGGCGGTCATGGAGGTAGCTGTAAGGCAACAAGGGAAGAAGCAGGTATGGTAGAGCCCAAAACGCAGCCTCAGTGGACCTGGACTGGGCCCAAGCTAGTGAATCAGGGGAGTCAGCTTCCCATCCATTAGGCCCAGGGCCCGGCTGCTGATGCCTACTGGATGTTCTGCTCCCAGCCCTGCTATCCACTTAGGCATCGTTAATATTTTACGCTGCAGAGCCAAGTGATCAATGTCTCGTTTATAGACCAGTGTTTATGAGCAGTCATTGAAGCTTTCACCGGGAAGATGTACAAGAGCACCAGGGGAAACTGAGGCAGGGGAGCAGGGGTGGGGCAGCTCAGGAGGACCCCAAGATGGCTTCCTTTCCTTGTTTGGTTCTCTGTCCCCCCATCTATCTCACATCTGGTACCATGGACACACCCAGCTCGGAGAACACATTGTAAAGGGCCATGAGAGCCCCCTCGGGGGACTCGCAGGAAGCTCATTAACCTCTGAGATTTTCACACACTTTAGTAACTCTAGATCGTCCAGAGCAATCTCTCCCGTCTTAGCATCTCTGCTTAGAAGTCTGCCTTTGGTCAGTTGAGACTCACCGCATCCCACTTAAATGGAATTGAAAGTTATACATTTACGGTTCTTTAAAAATATCTCCAATAGTTCAGGCTTTTAACCAGGTGTATTAAATAGTGAGGTCGAACTGCGCAGACGCAGAAAAAAACCAAAAAAACTCCTCATGCAGCCTCGTCCCCTTCGGTTTCTACGGAGGTAGTGCTGTGCCCTGGGACAGCATCTGTTCTGGACCCCAGCAAGCCTGGCTGCACTGTGCCTCTTCTGTAATCCACTCTCTAGAGTCCGCTTTCCTCACCTGTAAAATGGGGGTAGAGAAATGTCCACGGGGGGCGCTCTCAAGGATCACAAGGAAACCTAACGGCTGGGCTCCTGTCGGCGAGGTCCATAAGGGCCCTTAGCGCTCAGCTGCGGGTTCCCACCCGGCGTGGCGCCAAGCTCTGGGTTGGGGCGCCGTACCTACCCAGCATTTGTTGAATGAATGAATGAATGAATGAATGAATGAGTGCGTAGCAGAATTCCATAAAAGGAAGCTATTGTTCAAGCCCCAGGTGCAAACAGGGTCCACTCTCACAGGCGTGGAGTGGGGCTGGGTTCCCTCTCCACCTAGCACCGGGAAGACAGAACTTGGTGTCCCGCCCTCTAAGTTCAGGCTGGTGCGCAGCGCCCACTGGCGGAAGCAGAGATTCGCGGCTCCGACCCTCAAATCCGGGAGTTCGGGGGCTCGGAGGGTCCCGCTCTCCGCCCTGCCACGCCCTTCCTCTCCGCCCTGCCACGCCCTTCCTCTCCCCTTCTTTTCTCCTTCCTTTCCGTGGCTTTCCTTTCCTACCCAGTACTCCGGGGCAGGAAGAAGGCGAGCCACAAACTAATTAGCACTCCCTTGACCAGCTCGCGCGCAGCGCTTGGCATCCGCTCTGCTCTTTCCCACAGCCGGAAAGGCAGGCACCAGCCCCTCCTTCTAGAGGAGGAGGCTGCAAGTCCGTAACTCCCCCAAGGTCACGCAGCTAAGGCAGCACTTGAAGGCAGCTCTGTGGACTCCAGTGCCAATGCCCGCACGACCTCCTAAAGCCTGGAGTGCACACGAGTTTCCAGAACTGGAGAACTTTTGAGACCAGGGCTAAATTCAATCTCCGCCGGGGGCTGGGTTATGGGAAACACCAGGGGGCCAGAGAGCTTCCCGGACCCTCCAAAACCCTGCTCTGCGCCGGCGGCCGGGCGGGAACGGCGGCGGCCGGGCTCCGCACCCTTAGCCAGGAGAGGGGACCCCTGACTCCGCGGGGAGCGATGCCGCACTCCCCTCCTGCCCGGCTCCCACCCTGCACAGGCGGTTCGGTGAAACCGCCGACCGCGCGGCCTCCCGGGGCTGGCCGGGTAGCGGTGGCGGTGCGCCAGGCTCGGTCCACGATTGGACCGCGCCGGGCGGGGCCGCCTTCCTCCGCCCATTCGGGGCCTGCGGGGGGTGGGGGTGGGGCTGCAGGGGACGCCTCCTGGGTGGTCGCTGCGCCTAGGCCAATGAGCGCACCGGGAGCCGTGATGGAGGCTGGGCGGCCGGGAGGGCCCGGGACCCTCGCTCCCCTGCGCCCGCGGGGCTTCAGAGGGGGCGAGAGAGGCGCAGCGCCCGCGCTGGGCATGGAGGCGCCTCTGGCCAGCGCCGCTGCCGCTCCTCGAAGTTTGCAAGCGGACTCGGAAAGTTGCGTTCGGACGCAGTGCCACGTCCCACCACCGGGCAGGACCCAGCTCGCCGCCGCCGCACTGCGCGGGGCAGCGACCCCACCGACACCCGCGGCCCCACCGACACCCGCGGCCCCGCCTGCCGGGGGCATGTGAGCCGCGGCCTCCCCAGGAGCCGGCGGGCTGCACCGGCCCGGCGCCTTGGAGGCAGCGCACGGGCCGCCATGGGCATCCAGGGCATGGAGCTATGCGCCATGGCCGTGGTGGTAATGCTGTTCATCGCCGTGCTCAAGCAGTTCGGCATCCTGGAGCCCATGTCCATGGAAGGTAATGCGTGCTCCCGCCCCCGCTGCCCTCCACTGGGGCCGGCGGTCTGAGGGGAGAGAGTCGCATTCGCTCCGGTCGCGGGGACGGAGCCGGTAAGGAGTGGCCCTTGGTCGGGCACGCCTAGCTCCACCACCCCGGCAGTCTCTCAGCTCCAGAGCTTTGGACCTGGGACTAGAGGAACAAAGGGGCCTCTGGAGCCCAGAGGTGACAGAGCCGTGGCGTTTGGGGCGGGCGTGAGCGAGATGTCGGTGACACCTTGAGCGGCATCCTTGGCCGTCCCAGGCGAGCCCATCAGAGCCGCTCGCTGGTGAGCACAGGCCTCCTTGGGCCGCTGGGTGGTGAAAGGTGGCAAGGGTGAAGATGACCCCATATGGGATGGGGGCCGTCGCTTTAGCCCCCATCCCATATCCAGTCCCCCCTCCTCAGGCAAGGCTCATGCCTATGAGACCAGTAACCAAATCCTCAGTTGCCACACTTCTGTCCCAATAAAATATCAACTGAGGAGACAGACCTATTCTTAAGTGAGACACTGTTGCCTCCCTGGGACCCCAGACAGGCATCCTTGGAGCTGCTTCCCAACCCTTGGCACCTCTTTAGACTTCTGGGCAGGTTCGGGGGCACACCCATTCTGGAGGAGAATTTGACTCACCAGGGTTGTAACCTATACTTCCCTGTTCCAAAGAGGCAGATGTAGTTCAGAACCCTGCATGGTGGGGAACGGTCCAGCCTGACCTTTGTGTCACCTGTGCTCCCCTGTTGTCCTTTCAGAGGTCTCTGCTGACCTTGCCAACCTTCAGCTCCTGGGACTGAAACCAGAGGCCCCGGGAGGGCAGGGAGGGGAACCTAGCCCCCACCCCTGAACTGCCAGCAGCCCCTTAGGCTGGGAATGCACCCCAACCCCTGCAAAGGGCTGCTGAGGGCAGCAAGGGGCACAGGGCCAGGGAGCCAGGCCCAGCTTCCATTCTGCCTTCAGAGCCCAGGACTGGCTCTTGCAGCTGTGTACCTGAACTTCATGGCCACATGCCTCCCCCAGAAGCCATCCGGCTCCGTTGCATCTCTTCTAGCTGAGTTCATGAGGCCCAGAGATTAGGGACTTATTTGCTCAAGGCAGTTCTGAAAAGTGCCACCTTGAACTTTAGATTTTACTTGGAGAGGAAAATTGCTTAGGCAGGCCTACACTTGGCTGCATACTGACCCTGGCAGGAGGAATCTGTGATGGGGAAATGCAGTTGCTGGGGTGAGGCAGGGGGCCGAGCATCCCACACTGCTGTGCCCGAGGACCCTGCCTCCTGCCAGGCACTAGCTCACCCTCTATTTTTTATCTTTTCCCCACCTGGAACCTGTGATAGGCGTGGTCTCATCTTCCTCCACCTGGTGGTCCAAACCAGCTGAGCTCACCAGAGGCTGCTCAGATGGTGGCCCTAAGGACAGCCAGAGATGCGGCTCAAGGTGCCACCCACAGGTCTGGGAAAGTCTGAAGTTGGCCTTTGTGATTCCTAAGGAGAAGGGGTTTCTCCACTAGGTGGAGAGTATGCACAAGACTACAGATGCACCCACCTCAGGCTCAAATGAGTTCCTCTTTTCTGGTATATTTGTCCACTTGTGCCCCTGGCGTCCTGGGATCTTGATGCCATGGAAGGAGCACAGCACCTCAGAGCCAGCCAGTTCTCAGCTGGGGTCCTGTCACCCACACATACTGGCTGTAAAACTCCCTCAACCTTTCTGAGCCTCAATTTGACCCTCTATAAAGTGGGACCAGTAATAATTCTTGCCCCGTGGGACTTGTAACCAGTCAGTGAGGCGTTCATGGTCCCGGCACTGTTCTTCGTGTGTAATAAATGCACAAGCTTTATGAATCATTGCCATCACCAATAATTAGCAATAGAGTGATGAGCTGTATTAGCAGAACTGATTCACAGCTGAAAACATCCTCTCCATGTCAGAGGGAGGGGCTATAAGTTCTAGATGTTCCCTGTTGATGGGGCCCGTTAAGTGCCTGGAAGGGCCTATTGGCCCGGCAGTGTCTAAGGGACTATCAGATGCGCTATGAGAAGCCAGCCCTTTGGCTCCAGCCTGGATGTGAGCTGGCACTGAGGGAAGGGAGCTGGACTACCCAGGTGCCCCCCCACCCCCACCCCGCCCCAAGCCTGCACACATGCAGTGGGATGTGTCTGTTGTCCTCGCTGAGCCTCCGTAGTTCTCGTCTGAAAGAGACCAGAGTTATGAAGCCCCTGGGGATTGTTAGGAACTAATGGATCCAGGTTGTAGGGATGCAGCTTCTAGAAATAGATGCAGGAGTGGAAAGCCCCCTCGCCCTGCTCCAGGTTCCCTGTCAGCCTCTGTCTCTGGTGACTGCATCATGGGGTGTTCCAGCCTGGTGTGGCCACCAGTTTACTGGGTGACCTTGGTGTATCTTAATTTCCTCATCTGTAGAATAAAGATAATAATAGGCTGTTTTCCACTATCCACTTCCCGGGGTGGGGGTGGGGGGGGGTGAACTATGGTACTTTGCAAAGTAAAAGTGGAACTCAGGGACTCCTAGGGGTGGGGACACCAGTAAAAAGTAAGCCTGGGCTGACCAGCCTTGTTCTTAAACCAACACAGCCCGACATCAGATCTCCGTGTCCACGTCTGTGGCCCAGCGCTTGACTCTGGCTGCTTGTTCTGTCAGCCCAGGTTTCCTAAGTTCTATCTAGACTTACAGCTCTTGGCTGAGGGCCGTTTCCTCCTTAGTGGACATTTGGTAATGTCTGGAGACATTTCAATTATCATAACCTGGGGGGAGAGTGCTACTGGCATCCATTGGGTGGAGGCCAGGGAGGCAGGTAAACACCCTGACATGCACAGGAAGCCCCCACCACAAAGAATTATTAGACCCAGGTGTCAGTGTGACTTTGAGAAGCCTTGTATCAGAAGGAGCCCTGGCCAGGCGCTGGGCAGCTGTTTTTCAGCCCCAACCTGGTCCCTGACATGTTGTCATTCACTTGGACAAGTCACTTTTCCTATCTTAGCTCTGTTCCTTGTCTGTAAGGGAGGGGGTTGGATTCGAGGCACCATCTCCCCGTGAGCTTTCCCTGGCCTTCTGGCTCCCTGACTCTCAGGTTCTGTTTGGTGACGCTGTCTTGAAATTTTCTATGTCCCCGTCCCCACCCAATGTGTGCTTTCCAAGGGCAGCAACCCCAGAACTGCCCAGCACTGCCTAGCAAACAGAAGGTGTTCAGTAAGTTTAAATTCTATGCCATTGTCAGTACACAGTTATTCGGCACCCATTGTTTGCCAGGCAGTGCGAGGCTGCCAGGAGCACAAGTAATGCAGGGTCTTGGCCCTCCCTTTAAGGCAGCCTGGGCAGGTGCCCTCTGAGGGGATGGTCCTTCTGGCTGGGGTGGGGGAGGGAGGCTGGATTGTGAGGTCAGAGTGTAGGCCGGTGGAGAGAACAGAGGTGTAAAGGGGAGAATGGGGCATGCCCAAAATGGAGATGTGCACCGCCTGGCCCACCACCCCTGTTCTGCTCTCCAGGGGGAAGCCCTAAGCCTATATAGCTGCCCTGTGTGCACAATGCCCATGGGGGCCTTGCTTTGCAAAGGTGGCCTGGGAGCCTGGAAGGTCCACAGCCCTTACTCCTCCTGCCCCCTCTTGCTCTCCTTACCCCAGAACCCTCTCTTACCTTTGCTGGGGCTGGTAACGCTCTGAGTATCCTGGGTGCTCTTGTTCCTGGCAGGGCCACTGCTCTTCATGCACTGCAAATCTGTCAGGACTCCTGTGGCCCAGGCAAATTCCAGATCTGGGGTGCCGATAACAGTACAGTAGCCAGCATCTACTGAGCATTCTGTTTGCACCAGGCACTTTGTGCATATCCTAATTTTGTCCTCATTTGGATGCCCATTTTATAGTTGAGGAAACTGAGGCTCAGGGAGAATAAATGACTTGCCTGAGGTCCCCCAGCTAGAGATGGGCAGAGCCAGGACCTTTCTTAACTCAGGCACACCATCCTGGATGTGTCTCTAACTCCCCAGGGCCGCCGGGGCCATGGACACAAGTGTGCGTGTCCCAGCCTCTTACAGCACAGGTGTCAGGAGCTCCATGTGGAGGCAGTTACATGGGTACAAATCTAAAGTGGGAAGAGTACCGGTCACAGAGCATTGTGAGGACTAAGTGTGCGAGTGTGTGCAAAGCTCAGGGAGCAGTGCCTGGCACAGAGGGAGCATTTGGAAGTGTTAGCTCTCATCATTTCTGCCAGAAGTGACCTAGCCCAAATGACCCCAGGATCACATACCACTGACTGTGCACTAGAAGTTAGTGGGCAAGGAGGATGCACTTGACAGGCCCTTTATCATGGTGGCCGTCCTTCATTATGTCCTCTGTAGGGTCCAGGCACCTGGGTCCAGACTGGCTGAGGCTGCTGCCTGCTGGGCCAGCTCTGGGGAAGGGAAGAGAGAGGCTGGCTGTTACAGGGATGGCATCTGCAGGACAGGGAGGTGGGCTGGAGCCCTAGGCCTGATGTTGCTGTAGGCTGGTGGGACTTGAGCAAGGCCCCCGTCCCCGAGTCCGGGCCTCAACTGTTGCAGATCTAGACACGGTTGGTGTTTTCCAAGTGGCTTAGTCAGGAATATCACAGGAAGTCGGACTTGGCAGCCCAGCACTGCGACAGACAGACGGACCCTGCTGGATCGCAAAGGGAGTCTTGCTTCACAGGCATCCCCTGACCCCACGGCAGTCCCTGGGGGTGGGGGTGGGGGTCCTCTGTGGGTCCCCAAAGTCTAGGAGTTACCTGACTAGCAGGGACTAAGTGAGGTCTGAATCTGCCAGCTGGGTTCAAGAGTGACTGCAGCCAGCGAGTGTGGACAGCAGTTTGGAGTCTTCCTGCAGAGGAGAGCAAAGATGGGTGCTGGGTGGCAGGGGGCAGCCTGCAGGGCAGCCTCTCAGAGGTGTTGGAGACAGCCCAGGGGTGTTACGGGCTCCTGCACTGGGTAGGCCAAGAGTGCCCCTCACCCAGTATTGTA